CATTCAGTTCGTAAGAGTGTTCTTTTTAAATGCCTTCCCTTCACACACTGAGCCATGTCGCCACAGCAGTACACCTCAGCAAGTGAAGCGGAGACATGGAGGTCTCTTTAAATGACCTCCCTTCACTCACTGAGGCATGCCGCTGCAGCAGTGCATCTCAGCGAGTGAAGGGAAGGCATGTAGGTCTCTTTAAACGCCTTCCCTTCACTCACAGAGTCACACCACAGCGGCAGCACACACCTCAGCGAGTGAAGGAAAGGCATTTAAAGAGACCTACATGTCTTCACTTTACTCGCTGAAGTGCGCCACCACCCAGCACGCCTCAGCAAGTGAAGGGATTTAAAAATGCCACACACACCCCACAGAAGCTCCCCCCAACTCATGAACCTAACAAACCGGTTCGGTAAACCAACAAGTTTGTGGATATTCGCAAACCATGATTCATGGGGTCTGATGAATCACCACAAATCACCATTTTCCCAGTTCATGTCCATCCCTGGTTCTGATGCCCTAGCTTTGGCAAATAGATCAACCAGTATAAACATTCAGGATTGAAGTCTAAGCAGCATAGGTTTGTAATATGTGCATGGCGGCACTTTTCCTTTTACAAATGTTGTACTGACTTGAATATTAATATGTAAGATACAGCACTGTGCATAAAAGAGTGAACACCATATAGGAATAAACCAAGAAGACATTTTCAGTGTAACTGCAGTTTCCCTTGCTTGTCTGCTTTTAAAATGTATCAACTGCACTGAAATTTCCATTTGAAAATTCTCTGAAGCACAGGAATGATTTTCAAATGCATTTAAATGCATATAACCAAATGTTCTGCAAATGAAAGTGACAATATAATACAGGTAAAAAATTATGTTAGCTTTATGAGCTGTGCAGAAGTCTTCTGACTGAATGGAAGAGTAGCCATTACAACCTTATAGCTAAAATATGAAGAAAATGTACCAGGTTGCCTACTCTCAGGATGCGTCTTGAAGCTACAATAGCTCCCACATAATTCCTTAATAATTAAGGCATGACAGCTATAATAGCCTTTGAAGAATCTTTAGTAACAAATACTGCGGAAAATGCAAGTAGTTAAACTTTCATGAGAAGATCTCTCTCTATTAGCTAGACTGAAAAAAATAGGATACCAACCAGAACACTCCGTTAATAATCTGTGCATGGGGCATAGTGGTCTCTGCCTGAAAAAAGTTTATGGTACAATCAGGATAAGAATCACCCTCCTTCAAGAAAAAAAAAAGTGCTTCAGAATCACCATAAAATTCAATAGACAGAAGCAGGGACCTGTGGGACTCTCAGAGAGAATCCAGCCCTTTATCTTGCTTCTCCTACCCCTGCTGTCACTGGCACATTCTCCCCCCCCACACACACACACACAGCTTTCCTCATTCCCTTTGCAACCCTTCCCTTGCTTTTTCACCTCTCTCTTCTCTTGCTTTTCTCAACTCATCCTCCCCACCACCTCCCCCATCCTTCCCTTTGCCTTCCCTGGTTGCTGCCAGACGCATACACACACCCACCATGCCACTGCCTCCTCCTGCCTGGTTCCCCCACATTCACTGCTACCACTTCCCTTTCTCCATCATCTCTACCACCTGGCAGCAGCACTTTCCATCAGCTTGGCTGGTTTTGTTTATAAGGCTGCTATGCTACTTTTCAAAATGGCAGCTGAGATCTCGTGCTCTAGCATCGTAAGATCTTCATTTTCCCCAGTAATTAAACATTTTCAGATTCCAGATTACTAAACATATATAAGGGATCTTCTATAGTATTACCCCTATCAGGCAACCTAGTCATCTCTCAGCCTTAGGAAATTAACTGTTCAAATTTTCAAACAACTATGTGCCTCTAAACAGTTTTGATTATGTATTTATTATTTATTCATTTTATGCCACCTCTCCAGAGGATCTGCTCAAGGCAGCTTACAAAACAAAAACATAAAAACACTATAAAAGCTGTTAAGCACCCTGCACTACAGGCATAGCGAGAGCATTAGAACAGCACGAAACACTGAGCAACTCTAAAAGAGTCTCATAACAGTTCTCAGGCTAGAAGGAACTATAAAAATTTATGTTAGTAGATCAATCCCTGGGTGAAAAGGAATGTTGTGGCCTGGCACCTAAAAGAGTAAGGTAGGTGCCAGGCAAGCTTCCGTGTGAGGTGCCTCCACTTGAAAAGGTGACTGTCCCTGGTCCAATGCTCCCTCTAAGCTATGGAGTATTGTGAGCAAAAATTCTATTTTGTGAGCTACTGGCATTAAAG